GAGGGGCCCGTGTGTCGGAGACGTGAGTTATCGCTCGGGAGTCGTGACTTTGTGCAAGTTGCAATAGGTATCCCGGCGTATTACTGCGTGTGGGGTAGTGTGTACTGCCTGGCATGTAACATACAAGTCTGTAGTACGTAATAAGTCATGTACATCTCGTGATATACGATACAGAAAATCTGATATGTGTTTGGTTAGAGGTGGGCTTAATTTCAGTGCAGAGTACCAGCCTCTCGGTTCCATTTGAAATAACTCTAGGCTATAAGTTAATAAATATATCCTGCCTGGTATGTCTTAATTTTAATGCACAGTAGTATCCTCTAGATTGCGCTGGGAATAGTGAAGCTTATGCTAGTGTAACTTCATATATGTTAATATAAATATATATTGTAGTTCCATATATTAAGAGTATGGCATACGTAGTGTGTTTATATAAGCTTGTAGCAAGGTGGAAAGCATTTACTGCCGTTGAGTTCAACGTATACATGCACGTGCATGTATGCTCATAAACACACACATATATATATTCACTTTCTTTTTTTTTTTTAATGTTTTATCATGCTGCCCAGTTGCTGATTCGCCCAGCTGGTAAGTTCAGGACATACAGCCCCAAATCGTTTGGTGCTGGCTGGCAGAGGATGTGCGAGGTAGGGGTTTAGAATCGTGGATTGTCAGGGTTGGAAGGACGTTAAAGATCATCTAGCCCAATCCCCTGCCATGAGCAGGGACATTCCCCACTAGATCAGGCTGCCCAGAGCCCCATCCACCCTGGCCTTAAAAATTTCAAGGAATGGGGCTTCCACCCCCTCTCTGGGCAACCTGTGCCAGGGTCTCACCACCCTCATGGTGAGGAACACTGTGGTACCACGACACTCATGCTGCAGCCCCAGGACACGTGTGGTGGAGCTGAACTTTGCATCTCTGGTGTGGGGGTTTATTTGCAGAAAAAATATCCTCTGCTGTTTCTTTCCGGGAGGAAAGCCTCATGTGTGCTGTGTTAGCATTACGAGTTTAAATCTCTTTCAGTTTGTGGGACAGTATATGCGTCCTAATGTAATGGTGGAGAAGTGCTATGTAGTTTAAAGTTGTATTTTTATTCAGGTTGTCACTGAGGTATTTTGGTTTTATTTAGTGAAGCAACGAGTTCTCGAGAGACAGCCTCATAAGCTGCATTTGGGAGAAAAGGGAGAAATGAACTTGATTGTCACAGAGCCTGAAATAGGACTAGCTGCTGAAGAGGAGGCATTTAAAGAAAAATTAGTCCCTGCAAAGGTGAATAAAAACTGTAACCCTAAGCAGAGCTATGAAATAGTGATGAGAGTGTCAAACATTCACTGATATTTTGCTTGCATCTTATTTTAGGCTCTGGATGCCATGAGCAGCATTGAAACAAAAGGTAAAGTGTTATCTATAGGTCTGTGTGCCGATTCTTCGTAGAACAAAAATGTTGGTGCTTTTTTCCACATGCATCTCCAGTTCTGTAGGGAATTGTGCTGAAGGTTTCTGAATTTGGCAGCCTGACTCAGGTGATGCAGGGAAAGATGTCTGGCCAGGGACGCTGTACACTTGATCAGCAAGGATGGGGTTCACCTTGTTGGACTTAAACCACACACCTGATTTTAGCTACTAAAATAACCTTGTTAATTAGAGGAGCCGTCTCTGGAGAGGGATTTAGTTCCCTCATCCTCTATCACTGCCAAAAGATCTGCACAGAAACACCTAGGCTGAAGATCTTAAGCCTCAGCCTGATGTCTCTGTGCTCCCTACAGTTAGGAGAGTCTGTAAGGGCAAGTGGGGCATCTCCTCAGTACCTCAGTGACTTCGCTTGGGTTCCCCTTCAGCAACATTCTGCTAGGCTTGATGGTTCAGAAATCAACGTAGGAAACAATACTGCACACCCAAGTATACTTGCATCCATGAAGAGTAAATACTCAGCCCCAAGACAGACCAGTTAACCAGGAGGTTCTTCAGCAACTGACCCCTTAGCTTTTCCTTTTCATATGAAGTCTTGTTTGGTGCCATTTTGAGTGATTTTCCTCTTTTCAAAATTAGGTACTCAAAGGTGTCCTCTGCTGTTTTTTAGTTGTATTAGAGAGGACCTTGAAACTGTCTGGATGCTGCTCTTAATTACTTTGTTGGGTCACCCTTGCTTTCAGTTCTGTTTGCTTTGTACTCTCCTCGCTGGACATAGCGGAGCAGATAGTTCCTGTCAGAGGTAACTGGCATCTGTAGAGCTACTGCTTCTGCAGTGATTTCTTTTGTTTTCCTCTTGTTGGGCTCATGCTGGTAGGCCTTTGAAGGCAGCTGTCTTCTGTAAATGTTAGGGGTTTATTATCAGTTGTACTTTGGAAGAGCTTGTGAGCCTGGTGAGTGGGCAGAGCCAGCCTGTTTGTGCTGCCACCTGCTCGAGCCTTCCCACGCCGCGTCTCTGCCTCTCTCCTTGGGGCTACCCCCCCACAGCCAGCCTCTTGGGTGGATTTGGGTGTTCTTGAGAAAAAGCAGAGACCTCACTCCTCTCCCCCACTACATCCCTGCTCAGGGGTACAGCTGCTCCCTGAGCTCCTCTGCCCTCAGTCGCCTGTGTCCTCTGCCTCAGCCAGGGGTGGTGGCCCTGGAGGTTTACGCTGAGGGCGGTGAGCGCTGGGGTTTCATCTGATGCTCATCTGTCCCCACCATGGTGCAGGGATGTGCTGGTGAACTGAACTGCAAGGGGCTTCTGCTCCTTCCTGTGTTCATGGAGAGCTGCCTTTCTGTGCAAGTACGGCTGTCTTGGGCACCCTGGGGTGCCCTTTGGCCCGTGCCAATCCCCTGCCACCCTCTGGCACTCTCTGACCACTGTCTTCACTCTCTGACCTGTTGAATGGTTGTGTCACCACGTACCTGGGTGACACTTCTGGTTCACTCAGGCACATGGAGCAGCACGCTGCTCGTGTTAAGGAGATTCTCTCCCGCCTTCACCCTCATCTGTCTGCAAGGCTGGAGACGTGGCTTCCTCTGGCAGCTGATGACTTCTAAGGTGCTCGGCGGGCACCCTAATTATATTTTGTGTCTGCAAAAGATTGTTGCATCCCTTCCAGCTTCCTGTACACGTGGGTCCTTCAGCACTGTCATGCTGCACTGAATGCAGGGCATGGCGGTCATCAGATTTTGCATCAAATTGCACAGAGCTGCTGGTGGCCTGTGGTGCCTGTGGATGACCTGAGCTGTGCTTGGGCTTCTTGTGCCTTCACCTGGCCCACAAAACTCATGCAGAGCCTGCAGGGTCTCTTACTGTCTTGGTTTGAGCTAAACTAGAACCAATTCTGTTCAGTCATTTTACTTTTCAGCTCAGGCTGTTCGAAGTGACTTCACTTCATGAAGAAGTCAGCAGCGTGTTTTTGCAGACAGTGTCTGCTGCTAGAAGTGATAACACCTGGTGTTTGCAGTTACTGCCAGGGCATGGTATGCAGAAAGGCTCTTGCTGATACTTACTCCTATAATAACCAAGGTCACTACTGGACCTTGTGTAACATGTTGGGGGTACCAGAAAGTAAAAGAGTCGCAAGGAAGTAAAAAGATGACACCTCTGGGGAGGAACAGACAGGACAGATCACCCAGAACTGAGCAACAAAAGTATTCCATTCCATTCCATGTACGCCATTTTCAGTATAAAGCCAGGGGATCAGGGGGGTTAAGCTCTGTTCAAAGAGGAGTCTCTCTGTTCTTTTGCCCCTGATCTTCATCCATGAGTTCCTGAATCCAGTTACCAGCTCCAGTGCAACTGAGAATGGAGTTGGCAGTCGCTGGCCATAACCGTAGTCATCAGGTGTTATCACTTCTAGTAGCAGGTGCTGGCTGAAAAACACGCTGTTAACTTCAGAAAATGCAGCCTCTTGGAACAGTCTGAGCTGAAAAATAAAATAATTGAACAGAACTGGCTCTGTTTAGCTCAAACCAGGACGCTCACAACCTTTACAACGTCTGAGCAGCCATGGCCAATTATCTCAAAGGATTTTAATTTTTTTATATCTCTGACTTGGAGACATACCAGTGACCTTGGATGTCTTTACTTATGGCTGTTTTTGTGCCACCAAAGAAGCTGCCTGCAAGATATTGCATCTGGGCTAGTTTGAATCCCAAAACATCCTGGGATAGCTTGATTGGTGAGGTGATCTCTTTTCTTGGGAAAGGATAGAAAGGTTAAGCAAAATCTGTTTATTCTGTATAATGTCTACTCAGTATGTCTTGTGGCTTATTTCTTTTTCTGTTGACCATGATGCAGGAGCCTTGCAGAAAGCAGAGAGCTTTGTTTCAAAGAGTGAACTGCAGGAGGAAGCTCACTCTGTGAAGAACATCGCAGAAAAGTCTGCAGAGACCCCACCATCGGTGGTGTTTGAAAACATACAAGGCTGCAGCCAAAAATGCTTACATATACTGTTGGAGAACATTAGCGGCCTGACAGCAGATGATGGCTTCACTGTGGAAATGATACCTGAAATAAATGTGGCGGTAGCTACCTTTGCAAACAGTATTGGTAAGACGGGGTGAATACCATCATCCATTTCCATGGATATGTACAAGTAATTGCTTTCAGAGCTTGATTCCTCTTTTGTTATAGATTCAGACTGTTTTTAAAAAAGTAACTGGACAATAGCCTCTCAGGAAAGATATTAGTCTCATCTACAGCTCTTTGAAAATGCCTGTGATCTAAATGTTGCACCAAAAAAAAAATTGTAGAGCCTTCATTAACTGAAATTGGATGAGACTGTTTTGTTGTCTCTATTATTTTGCATTAGATGGAGAAGAATTGAAAGCAGACTGAGTATGGAACTGAGTTCTGTAAATTATTGAAGAACGTGAAGTCTCTGTGTGAGAAGACAGTGGAACAGTGAGAACTGCTTAGTTTATGCAAGAGATGAATTCAAAGGAACAGGGAGACACAGTGGTAGGAAATAGCCGAAAGTAACATGGCTGTGTGCATTTCCCCTCTTTTTATTACAACACACAATTATTTGGCACCAAAAGACAGTTTTGCTCCAAACACAGAATAGTAGCCTCAGCTCATTTCTCTGCCAAACGTGATAGCCCAGGCTGATAATGACCCAGGGAAACAGGGTCAGTTCATACTGCTCTTTTCTTTACAGATACTGAGGAATTTGTCAAAAAGTGTTCACAAAACAAGAGAGTTAAAGAATTCAAAATGACTGCCAGGCTTCTGGAATTGACCCGGAGCATTAAGGCTGAAAACATCCCGGCTGGCATTTCCAGGGGGTACCTTGCAGTTTACTTTGAGAGTGTGCGGAACGGAGGGGGGCCCGTGTCTGATGTCCAGCTCTTCCCGGAGGAGAACTCGGCCATCATTACTTTCTGTGATCACAAAGGTAACGCTGTCCTTCTCCTGTCCAAAGTGCTCCCAGGCAGAGGTCCTGGAAGAAAACTACTGTGAGTTTGGGCATTAGGGGAAGCCTGGCTTGCTGTCGCTAAAGCCAACGTGCACTGTCCTGTTCCTGGGAAATGCTCTGGATTTAGCAATACTGCTGTGTGTCTAAGGTTTCAGAATCTTCCTGGCCTTTTATGTTACTAAAGGTTCATTTTAAGACCTGCTTTGTGTATGAGTTGTCCCACTAATATTTTTTCCCCTCATTTACAGAGGATTTTGTCTGCAGTACAAAATGAGATGTACTTGCAGAGAGAGTGTCCTGGTTTCACCTGGGCTAGAGCTAGTTTTCTTCTTTGTAGCTAGAATAGTTCCATGTTTTGGATTCAGTATGGGATTTAGCCTGAGAGGAATGCTGATAATACAGTGATGGCTTGAGTTGTTTCTGGGAAATCAAAGACTTTTCCATTTCCCGTGCTCTGCCAGTGAGCAGGTGCACAAGAATCACAGAATCACAGAGTGTCAGGGGTTGGAAGAGACCTTGAAAGATCATCTAGTCCAACCTCCCTGCCAAAGCAGGATCACCTAGAGCAGGTCACACAGGAACGCATCCAGGCAGGTTTTGAAAGTCTCCAGAGAAGGAGACTCCACACCCTCCCTGGGCAGCCTGTGCCAGGGCTCTGTCACCCTCACAGTGAAAAAGTTTTTCCTCATGTTTTGGTGGAACCTCCTGTGCTCCAGCTTGCACTTGTTGCCCATTGTCCTGTCACTGGGCATCACTGAGAAGAGCCTGGCTCCATCCTCCCGACACCCTTTACATATTTATAAACATTAAAGAGGTCACCCCTCAGTCTCCTCTAAGCTAAAGAGACCCAGCTCCTTCAGCCTTTCCTCATAAGGGAGATGTTCCACTCCCTTCATCACCTTCGTGGCTCTGTGTTGACCTCTCTCCAGCAGTTCCCTGTCTCTCTTGAGCTGAGGGGCCCAGAACTGGACACAATATTCCAGACGTGGCCTCACCAGCTAGGGGGGAGCATGGCCAGGACACCCGACCTGACCCAGGTGAAGGGATATTCCATACCATGGAACATCATGCTCAGTACACAAACTGGGGGGAGTTGGCAGGGGCAGGGGGCAACTCACAGCGAGTGGTGAGCAATTGCATTTTGCATCACTTGTCCTTCCTTGGGTTTTATTCAGCTATCTTTTTGTTATATTCCTTTTCATTACAATTATTTTTGTTATAATATTTTATTAGTAGTATTATTTAGTATTTTAGTTAAATTATTAAACTGTTCCTATCTCTTAACTTCTTTTTTTTTTTTTGCCTCTCCTGTCTTTCCTCCCCATCCCACTGGAGGAGTGAGCGAGCAGCTGTGTGGTGCTTAGTTGCTGGCTGGGGTTAAACCTCAACAGAGTGGAAGCAGAATTTGTTGAGGATGTCAGCTTTCACAGTTAGCTTTCAGAAACTGAAGTCAAGTATGTTCATTATCAGGGAAGAATAGAGCTAAAGAGCAATGTGGTTACTCTTCCCTGTGTTGAAGCACTGTCCCATTTTTGTGTCAGCACAACCTCTGGTAAATACCTCTGTGTTAGAAGACTCCTGGGTTAGTGAATTCCTTTACTTTTAATTACAGATACCTGCTACCTGATTGTTTTTCTTCTGTCTCAGAATTTGCTTAAGAATATTTTGTACATTAAGTTAATATGTGGATTGTTGTAATGTGTATAATTCCTTTCCATCGTCCATTTCAACTGAAATGGCAAAAAAAAAAAAGGAAGTAAAATTGCATTGACACAAAGAGGTCTTTTCAAGTTGAGAGTAAGGAGCTTTTCATAGTAGTAACTTTGACATGGCCCTGCTCTGTGGTGCAGTTTCTTTAGGAAATGAGAGCAAGGCATAGCTGTACAGATATAGGATGTTTATCTTGTCCCTGGCAGAGTGGTTTGGAAATCAGAAAGCCATAAAAATATCTCTTTCAAATTTAAAAAAAGGTATTTTATTTAATGTAATAGTTCTAAGAACAGAGTAATTTGCTTGATTTGAAATGATGTTTGTGTGTGCTACCTTTTAGACCTAAACACTGTCTTGGAAAAGCAGCATTTACTGGAGCAGACACGGATTTCTGTGCATCCCTATTACCACTCCCTGAGAACAGCCCTCTATGGAAAAGAACGACCAACTATCAAGATGCTGGACCCCATCAGGGTGCCACTAGACCTGTTTGTCTGGCAGTTTTTGCAAAGGCAGACCAAACTGATCCAAGACATAAACGAGGAAATGGCAATTTGCCACTGTGAGCTGACATGGCCCCAGAAAGACTGTGCACAGCCAGAAATTGTGCTGTGCCCATTACCATCTCTCTCCAAGCAGAAAAAGTCAATGGTTAAGTTGATCAAGACGTGGAAGCAAGTTGTTTCTACCGAGTTCTCGCGTATCATGGCACGTTACGTAGCTGTAAAATGCAAAGTAAATTCAGTGGATTGGGAAATACTGAAAAACAGATTGGCCAAAGATGCTGCTTTGATCATAATTGATGTTTCTGAGGAGATGGTGGTGATTGCAGGCAACAGAGCAGCGGTGGACAGTGCCGAGAAAGAAGTGAGGGAATATGTGGAGCAAAGCGAGAGGGAAAAACAAAGCATAGAAATTTCTGTGTCAGTGACCCCGGGGAAGTACACTGTTCTGCACAATGCTGGGCTAGAAGAAAATGTCCACAAAGAATATCCATGCTTAAAGATCTTTTATGATGACATAAAAAAAACTGTTCAGTTGTGTGGATTGCCTGCAGAAGTATACAAAGTCAAAGCTGACTTACTGGAAAAAGTGTTGAATATGCCGTGTGTATCAGTTACCATTCATCCCCGTGTTTTTGACTATCTGCAGCGTGTAGATAGTAGAACAATGTCACACACATTATTCACTGAGAAAAAAATTAATGCTTTTTATGAGCTTGAGGATGGCACTGTGTTGCTATTTGGAGATGCTCCCAAAGATCTTTCTGAAGCAGAAGTTCAAATAAAGACAGCCTTGGAATATAAGTGCATCAACGTGGAGGGTGTAGACGTTGTGAGAAAGAAGCAGTGGAGGAGTCTTCTTGACTCCTTGTGTAAGAAATACAATTCTTCCCAGGAAACTGTAGTCATTGACGAACTCGTTGGAAAAGACAGTAAAGTGATTATTACTGGCTTTTCCAAGGCTGTAACAGAATTTTATGAGAAACTGAATGATTTTATAGATAGAAACACACATGTGGAAAAAGTAATCCCGGCTAAGGCAGTGGTGGTAGTGCAGTTTGTAGATAAGGAAAAATCCAGTGTTTATCTTGAATTGAGCAAGAAAGGTGTGACAGTAAGTTTTGACACCAAGACACCAGGTATTTTCCTGAGTGGACCAAGAGCAGAACTGCAAAAAGCAGTCACGATGCTTGAAAAAATTCTCTCATCCCTTTACTGGAAAACTGTGCAGATTGATAAACCGGGAGCCAAAGAGTTCTTCAATGAGAGGAAAGATTCATATGTTTTAGAGGCAAAGCAGAAATTTGGCTGTTTGATTAGCCTGGAAGGAGAAGGAGAAGAACACCACCCACAACAACAGCAACAGAAGGGCGCGAAAGTTGGTGAGAAAAGAAAGCTCTACTATGAGCAAATGCTGCCAGGTGGAGTTGTAATAGCGGTTTATAAAGGGGACTTGTGCACTTATCCCGTTGATGTTGTGGTAAATGCATCTAACGAAGATTTAAAACATGTTGGTGGCCTTGCTGCGGCGCTTTCGAAAGCAGCTGGTCCAGAGCTGCAACAGGAGTGTGACAAGCTGGTGAGTACCAACGGGAGGTTGCAGCCTGGGTGCGCAGTCATCACGGGCGCTGGGAACCTTCCCTGCAAGAACGTCATCCATGCTGTTGGGCCCAGGTGGAGGAAGGATGAAGCAGAGAAATGCGTGTTCTTGTTAAAAAAGACAGTGAAGAAAAGTCTACAGCTGGCCGAAACATACAATCATCGTTCTATAGCTCTGCCTGCTATAAGTGGAGGGATTTTTGGCTTCCCGCTACACATATGTGGAGATTCAATTCTATCCTCCGTCAAAGAGACCCTGGAAGAATCCATGGGGGACAGCAGCTTGAAGGAGATTCATCTTGTGGATGATGTGGAAGAAAAAGTTCAAGTTCTGAGCGAGACAGTAAAAAAAGTGTTTGCATCTAACTCGTCCTCCCCAACAGTGCTGACATCGCACTCTGAAAACTCTAAACTGGGAGAAAGCTGTACAAAGAGAAGCCAAGATCTGCTGATGGCTGCAGATGATCTGCAGATGGTTATGACATATGAAGGACTTTATGTCCGAGTAGAAGAGAAAAACATTCAGGAAGCCACGGTAGGTCTTTAGTTTTCCACTTTCTCTCTAACTTGATATGAAGATTTTTAAATCTAAGTAGAACAGCAGGTTGTTTTGTTTTTCAAGGCAATTGCTACGTAAGGAAACAGCAGCTATGTGCTGGCTGAACAAGGTTGCAAGCTTGCAGAACTGATGGGTTTCACGTTGGGATCTGTCACTCTGCAGCCGTTTTCTAATGGGCAGCTGTGAATTTTGGGATGTTTCCTTCCCAGCCTGATATTACTCATTCTCCAGATCTAAGGTCAACATGTAAAACAGTTTGCCTTTTTTTATTTTTTCCCCCTAAAAGGGAAATATTAAAATACTTTCTAAAAGGATTTCTGTGATCCATAGCTATCTAGGTTGGATGTCACAGGAAGTCAGCACCTGTCTGGGCTGCTGGCGAGTCGTGTTAACGGGGAGGACGTAGCTTATTCTTTTAGTTCCCTTCTCTTTGGGTGCATTAAAGACACAGTCTATGAAGAAGTTACTGCAGCTCTAGAAAAGCAACTCCATAGAAGAGTGTATGCTTAGATTTTTTTTTCCGAAGTCTAGACCTGATTCTACTTTTTTTTCCCCTGATTTTCTTTTTTCATTTTTGTTGCTAACAAAGAGTTCAACTACTACTCATCTAGACCATCAAGACTCAGTTTACACCTCTGACATAGTTTCTTTTCCTTATGTTTTTTTTTTCTTTGGTGTATCTTGATAAATCTTTCTTTTTCAACAGCCCCTGATTTTTGTGCTTTGGGAGTTTAAAATCTCCCTAAATTATTATTATTTTCCTGTTGTTTCAGTATTAGTTGCTTCACTTGTCATTTTGGTGCTGGCAAAAGCCTGTTCCTGTAAGACAGCAATACTAGGTGTGAAGAAAACCCCACAAAACCTCAATATGATACACATTTAAAATACTTTGTAATTTAAAAAGTCTCCAGTGGAAAGAAAGCAAAGCAAACACCAGATTTGGGGCTTTGCCTGGTTTGCTTCATGGGAGTACAACAATCTCCTTTCAGTTTTTCATGCTGTGCTTCACTTTGGTAGCATTTTTAGTCCTGAGGCATATTTTTCCTCGGAAGTCTGGCTTTAGATATTTTCCTTGTAATTTTGTTGCAGGTGGATGCTATTGTCAACAGCGTCGGTGACGATCTGAAGTTTGGCGTGGGGGCTCTTTGCAAAGCCTTGCTGGAAAAGGCTGGAGCAGGGCTCCAAGATGAGTTTGACAAGGAAGCACAGAGACAGGTTGCTCGTCAAGGGAGTGTGCTCTGCACCGGTGGATATGCTCTGGCCTGCAAGGTTGTGCTTCATGCCATACTTCCCACGTGGGATAAAGGAAAAGGACAGGCCCTGAATGTAAGCTTTAATTATTTAAAAAAAAAGAAATTGAAAATTGATTTTGAAATTAGATTTTTTGGAGGGAATCCTGTCCCAAAGTTTCAGGATTTAAAATAGTTTGGATGACTCCAATCCATTTACTTCTGTTGCACTGACCTTAGAGATGTCTATGGAAGTAATAGTAAATGGTGCCTATTTCTTTAAAAAAAATCTTTGCTGTGTTTTACAGATCCTAGAAGATGCAATCATTTCCTGCTTGAAGAAAAGTGAAGAACTTGGACTGAAATCGATTGCTTTCCCAGCTATAGGAGCTGGGGGATTTGGATTTCCTAAAATCATTGTTTCTAAGTTGATGTTTGATGTGGTATCCAAGTTCAGTAGTAGTTACACTCGGAAGACTCTCCAGGAAGTTCATTTTCTCTTGAATCCAAAAGATAGGGATAACATTCAGGTACTTCTCCTCAGGACAAAGCAGTCTATGTTACTTACTGTTCTAGTTACACCTTAACAATATATTTTAGTTGTGTTACTTCCTTGAGGGAATACTTCATCTCTTTCTTGCTGCTGTGGGCTGGTGACAGCGCAAAGTCTTGTTCGGTGTCTCTGAACTCTCAGCAAGCACAAGCTGCAGACAAGATTGGCTTCGCTCCTGGCGCTGTGAACACCTGTAGATTCTCACTCATCTTTTGAGAGAGCAGTTCTGCCAATGCAGAGACAGCATCTATTGTCACGCTGTCCACACTGAGGCTTCCGCTGTTACTAATGACACCTAAACACGACCGTAAAATGAGTGAGATGGCTCAGCAAGAGCTGCATGACTGTCAATGTTAATTATAGCAATAGTTGATATATAAAATCTGAAATACTATCTTTGGTACCTTTTCTCTCTTCTTAGGCATTTACCACTGAACTAGAACGGAGGATAGCTGAAAGCTGCAATGCTGAAGGACCACGGCCAAGTAGGTTGTGTAGGGGCAGAAGGTGGGATATAGGGGAGAACGCATGTACTATAAAGTAGTTTTATACATACTAGAAAACAGACAAAATGTCATGAAGAATAGAGCACTTTTTTCCTCCTAATCCACCAGCATTCTTAAACTCCATTTGTAAATATCTTAAAGAGCAATTTCTTTTGTTGAGGGCATCTCTTAGTGAGGCCAGTCTTATCACATGGAAGAACATATCCTGGTAGAACTGTTAGTTTGTCCTACTCAAAAAGGCATAAGTACTTGGTGTCACTTTGCCACACAACAACATGTATTTCTGTACCTTTAAACTCCTGTGTAGAGGTATACAGAATGGATAATTAACCACATGGAAGAAGATATCCTGGTAGAACTGTTAGTCTGTCCTACTCAAAAGGGCATAAGTACTTGGTGTCACTTTGCCACACAAACCATAAACAACATATATTTCTGTACCTTTAAACTCCTGTGTAGAGGTATACAGAATGGATAATTAAATTTCCATTTATTGATTGACAGTAGTGTGACACAGTAGCAAAAAAAGGTGAGTGAACTACATCAACAGCAGAGGCTTGTTCATAAGATTATAGAGCTCTTTCTTAACTACCCTAAGTATCAGTGAGTGTGCAGATAAGATATGAATTAGATGAGTTTAGACTAGAAGTAAGGAACAGTTTCATACTTGTGAGGGTAAAGATTAAGTAACTTTAAGAAGTGGAGTGATGGGATCTCCATTACTGGCAGTGCTTAAGGTAATAATCCACTTGTACGAGTTATTTAAGGAAACTGTGTTACAGAGCTGTCAGATCAGATAACCCCAGGAGTCCTTTCTGAATTTACATTGCATGAATTTACAGGAATAGAAATGGTTTCGCTTTCATGGTATTTACATGGGAAATTTGCTGCTCTTTCCTGCTTTCAGAATAAAGTAAAGAGAAAGGTGGAGACTCTCTAGATCTATCAGCTTGATAGTTGCTAAAGCACATTCCTTAAAAGGATAAGTTGAAGTTTCCATCACTAGAAGAGAATAATTTCCCAGACTAGTGTTTTAAGCTATTTTTCTTTCCCTTGCAGGTTTCATTAGCCCTCTTACAACGGAAGCATTGGGAGTTCGTGAAATGCAGATTGGTTCCATTACACTCCAAGTGACTAGGGGAGATATTACCAAGGAAGATACAGAGGTTATTGTAAACGTATCAAATCCAATATTTGAAGCCACATCAGGTATTATATTGGATATATGGTTCTTCAGTGATAAATTTGAGCTAGTTTTTAGAGTGAGATAGGGGAAGGAGTTGTCTGTGAAACTTTTATGAAGAGTTTTTCAGATGAAAGTTATGAGTAGTCAGGAAATAGATCCTGAACAGTTTCTTTGCATGTCCTAAATATTCCATTTAGTTTCCAGACTATTGAATCAGAAGGCATCTGACTGGATTTTTATTGTTTAAAAACAAAAATGCTTGAATGAAAAGGAATTTTTAGATCCAATATAATTCTCAAAAAGTGCTTTTGTCCCAATATGTTTCATTGTAAGCCAAAGCCCTGATTCAGTAAAACGATCTGTAAAGAAGCAGAGGATTCTTTGGTGATTTGCAAGCACGAAAGACATCAATGTAATTCAAAGCAATTGGAGAGTTTAATGAGGGGCATGCTATTGGCTGGTGAAACGATGAAATAGGAGTTATGCTTAATGATTTTTAATCAATGATGAAGGCAGCATTCTCTTTGCAGCTGGTGCAGTGCGTCACGGAGGGTCCTTAGGGCAACTGGCATGGGTTTGTACTTTGTGGGATCTTGCCACATGAGAATTTGGGGTGTTTGTAGAGTATAGAAGTTCAGTAGAGTTTTGAGTAGAAATAACTAAGTTGACTTAATGAGTGTATATGCTTTTCTTGTGTCATTTAAGGAGTCTCCAAAGCAATTATAGATGCTGCTGGTTGGGAGGTAGAAGAAGAATGTGCTCAGTATGGTATGTTATTTTGTTTGATTAATTTTGTTGTTGTTCTCTCTGAAAACTTAAAGTTGTATTACAGTTCTCTACCTTAGTAAAATTATTTGATGTGAAAAAATAGCTTTCACTTTTAGGAATTTTTAAAAGTCCTGTTGTTGTTTTGACAACAACTTTGACAATTTTTCTTTTCACAGCTGAATGGAAGATGGGTACAGTTTTCTGATGTTAGTAGGTGCTGGGAGATTAATGTAATTTAAGTTCTTTATCCCTGAAATTACTCAAGCATGTTTGTGACTTAAGAACAGAAACAGTCCCATTGACATGAGCATAATTTTTGACTTCATCTATTGTCAGCTACAAAAGAGATGAAATTTTGAAACTGAACAAGGTGGTGGAAGATTCTTTTGGTGTAAGCACATTCAGGACTAGCTTTTCGAAGTTAATAGCAAATCTGGACTTCTCTTCACAAATGATTATTTTTTATTGAAATAATGTGACCATGCTTATCACCCTCATCATGAGTTTTTCTGTAGTCTATGTTCTGCCAGACCAGTGGAGCAGTAAAATCCCAGCTCGCTGTGGTTTGCCTCTACGAGGACAGGAAGGAACACGTTCTGGTTGCATAAACAAAATATTTCTGCTCCAAGTCCAGAAGTTAACTTTCAAGATGAAGTTTCCTAGATTTTTTTCCAAACCTTCTGGCTCTGCAAACTCTCCCCCTTCATGAGCCTGATCTCAGTGCATGCCGAGCATCTTACAGTCGTTACCTGTGTGACCAGTGAAGTGGTGTGTAACTCTGTCTTTTTACAGATTCCACACCAAGGTCTTAGATCATTTGGTCATTACCTTAATGGTATTATTTTAACCATTCAGCTCTTCTGCAGAATAAGAGCTTCATTATTCAAGGAATAAGTTGCATAAGAAAGGATTTCTCATATAAATGAATTGTGCACATTCTGTTGGCATGCTTTTAATTGTAAGTGAGCTGTATTTAAATTCAACGTAACTTCTTAAGCTGTACTTAATAGGAAAATACCTTTTAGCAGAGATTTGGGGAAATTGGAAAACACACAGTTACTTGTAAGAATTACTTTTGCAAAGAAATTCTGCTATCAGAATATTTGCAGAGAGGACCGGAATCAACTAAACCCAGGATAATATAACTCACAGTTGATTTCTTTCCACTTTTTCCACTTCTAGCATCAATATAACCAGCTGTCTTATCAGAAGAGATAGCCGCTTTGAAAATGTTATGTCTCCTTCTTTATCTTCTCTCTTCCAGCTGAGCTGTCTCAAAATGGCTTTATTACTACACGAGGTGGGAGACTGTTGTGCAGTAAAATCATCCACTTGATTCACAGTGACAGTGTGAAGAGTCAGGTTTCCAAAGTGCTTAACGAGTGTGAGCTAAAGAAGTACAAGTCTGTTGCCTTCCCAGCAATTGGAACAGGTTTGCATTTTCCTGGGAAAGAGATGAGGGCTCTGGTGGGGGTAGTTCAGAAACCAGGACAAAGTTAATACCTCTGATATGAGTAACAGTAGACTTGTACAAGAAATCCGTGAACTGTGAGTTGGGAAATTTCATTGTAGTCGCTTCAGACACCACCTGCACACTTCTAAAATGCTGCTTTTTTAGAAGTATAGATATTACAGTCTAGACTGATTGAGCAAGAACACCTGAAGGGAAGATATTCCAAGCTAAATGACTCTATGATTCTATAAAAGACGTTCTGCCCCAAAACAGACTGTGTGTATCGGCTGGCCACCCTGCACCTTTCCTCAAACTTCCCATAGACCTTGCTTTGAGATTTCAGCCACAGGAGGACTGGAGTTGGGGCTTGTATGTGAAGGAGGCTAGAGTTGTCCTGAGATCAAAACCTTGCCTGCCTGACTCTGGAAATTGTGGGCTGGGTACAGAATTCCTGTAGTTTATGGCTTTTATAGGTCTTGTTTGAGCCTACCTGCTCCAGCAGGAGGAGGGCTAGAGGCAGGCTAGCTCATCTGGCTTAAGCTTCTGATTAGCTTGGGAAACGAGGCGTGAGGAGATCAGGGTGCCCTTCTCAGACCAAGGCTTTCCTCAACTGAAAAAAAGAAGTTGTGAGCTGGTGCTTGGTTAGGGTGGGAGCTGGTGCGTGGGTCAGTGTTTGAACTCCCCAGTGATGGATATGGCAGGTCCCCTGGACTGCCAACATCACCTGTGCGCTGGTGTCCCCATGGCTGTCCCAGGGATGCCGTGGCTGAAATAGGCAGAGGCACGCACCGATGTTTCAGGATAAGCTTTAGGTTACGCTTCAGGCTTGTTATAAGGGAGTGAGAGCAGTTGTTTTGAGCTTAGTGTTCCTGTTTGTATGGTGAAAGACGCTTCAGACTCATGCCAGAATGCTCCGCCGATTTCAATTTGGTTTTACTTTGGTACCCAGTTAAAGACAGGGAAAGAATTAGCAACATGTGGGTTTAAAATATCAGTGGGATACTAAGGCTGAAGTGCTTGTTGGAGCCTCAAAGTAAATGGGGGTTGAATCCCGGAAGGGCTTCTCAGGTTTGTGTAGGGTGTCAGCTCCTGGAGCTCACAGGCTTAGGTGTAAAGCTGAGGTTAAGCTCAGGGCTTTGGCCAAAAAGCGTGCTGGGGGAGCAGAGGAGACCGATCTGGGTGAGCTGAGGATGTGATCTCTCTTTTCTTGGTTCTGCCTTGATTTAAGTACTGTTTGCCTATGCGTGCCTTTTATTTTTGTTTAGGTCAAGCAAAACAGAGTCCAGCAAAGATTGCTGATGACATGTTGGATGCTATAATGGAATTTGCAAGCCAAAGATCAGTGCAGCATTTGAAAAGAATTAAAATCATCATCTTCCAGAGAAATATGCTCAAAGACTTTCATGAAAGCATGAAAAAAAGAGAAGAATTGGGTTCATCCACAACACAGTCATGGTTTTCTCTGTTTAAATGTAAGTAGGTGGCTTTTCCATGTGCATGGGCACATAAAACTAAAGGTCTTTTATTTAAAACTAATAATTAACATGTATTTCTTCACAGCATTTTTGTGGGGCAAAAAACAACCCACTGAGAAGAAAAAGCCTGTGACTTTGGAGGAGAAAGTTAACTTGGCCATATTTCAGATTTGTGGAGAAAGTCAGGAATGTGTGGATGCAGCTGAGTCCTGGCTAAATAAGTTAATTTTAAAGGAACAGTTTGAACAGAGTATTTCAGACGAGCTAATTGGAAGTTTTGGTGAGAGTCAAATGGCAATTTTGAAAGATCTCCAGGAAAAAAAGCATGTTACCATTTGGCTCGAAGAGAAACTTTCTGGTCCTTGCATTACAATTTCTGGGCTTAGCAGGGATGTCTACGTTGTTATGATGAAAGTTCAAGAAATGATCCGGAAAATGAAGGATTCTGCAGAAGAACTATCCAAGGCAGAGCTTGTTTATAACCTGGTAGAATGGAGGTATCCAGGAAGCAATGACAACTTTGTTGCTTTTGATAAACTGACAAATGTGCAGCTGGAGAATGCCAGAAGAGCTAAAAAAACCCACCTTACTGTTAAAATTAACAAGAAGAACTACAAGGTGGATCTGAATACTCTACAGGCTAGTGATGACCAAGGAAAAACTATAAGCATTCAGCGTGTGCCAAAGAATGAAGGTAAATTAACAGCTTTGTTAGTAAAAAAATCTTTAATAGTGATTATTCAATGATAATTCTGGTAAGTGCAAACTCAGGTACTCCAAGGAACTAAGCTATTCCATATTATTTATTTCCCCCCCTCCCCAGGCATGCCATAGCCAGCAGTTTTAGTTTTGAAATTAGTGGCAGGTGTGACTGAAATGAGAACATCTGTTTTAAACACTAATATTATTCAAACATATGTGACTAGTGAGCGTAGAGTTCCTGCTTAGGTCTGACAAAGGAAGTGATCTATGAAGAATGTGGAAAATTCTGATGTGGTTTTCAAGCTTGTTTTAGTTAGATACTGGTATGTGAAGTTAGACTAGAGAAAATGTAAAATCTTAACAGTGCGTTACGGAGCCGGTGATGTATTGAAGAGAGAGTGTTCTTGGAATAAAGTATTGTGTAAGGGTCTGTTCTCTCAGCTCTCTACATGCAGTTGGTTTGTAAGATGTGTCCCCAAAATGGAGATCGGTGACAATGCAATCTCTGTTTTGCAGATAAGCAGTCAGTAGAGCTCCCTCCGCAGTGGGATGACATGCAGAGGGAACTGGTCAGACGGGTGAACCTCAAGCCGTCACATCCGGAATATCTGAAAGTTGAGAAGAAATTTAAGAACACCTGTCCCAGCTTTGTCATAGAGCAGGTGAAATCCTGGGCGCGGGGGAAGTGAATTACTGGGCTGAAAACATTAATATACTTTCCAAATATTTGTTTGTAAGCTGTCTGCAACCTAATACACCTTTTATGTGTCAGTCTTACCAGGCAGATAGAAATCAAATTAAGTTTACTAAGAGTTGCCCTGCCATTTATTATTAATTATTATTAATTCTGTATTGAAATGGAAGCATGAACAAATGCATTCAGAATACAAAGGTCGATATAAAGTCCTTGCAGACTGGCTATAAAGCTTTATACTGTTTTACTACTTCTTCCCTGTTAGTCCCTAGACCACTGGTTTTAACCGAAGTGTCCAGACTTGATCCTGCTTATTGAAAAGCGCACAGAGATTTAAGTGCCAGGAAGAAGATGGAATCAATCAGAAACAGGAGGAGCGATAAATAGGAGAAAATACAATGAAATTAAGAGTGAGAATGTGTTTGAAAAATTTTCTTCCATCATGAGATTCGACAAACACTAAAACACAAATAGAACAAAATATTAGTGCACAATAGAAAAGATCGGGTAATGAAATGAAGTCTTTTCTTATTGAGAATGGAAAGCTGTTACAGCAGTGCTTTTAAGATCATACTTTGATGCAGATATACGGTTTCCCCCTGAGCTATATTCACATTGTTGGTATAGAGAGCCAGCAATATCTATCCTCCCAACAATTTATTTTTATACAGGAGTTTCATACAAGTTGCTAAGCTACACCGTGAAGGAAGTGATTTTGACTTCCAAGCTAAGATCTAGAAGAGAAACTTAAATTCAACATAATACTATCACTACATTGTAGCAAGAAAATCACTGGTGAAGATGATGTACAAAAGGCTTCTTACAGCATTGCCTCTAGCAGTGGTACAAGAGCCTGCTTTGAAAAATGACAGTGCACAGCTGCCGTGATTGCCTGGGTACTCGGAATCCTAGGCAAGACAAATGTATGCCAAAAATTGCCAAGCTTGAAAACCTCTTAAAAGCTACATTAGTTTCTGCTTTTCCAGGAGGTTCACATATTCAGTTCCCCAACCGAAACTACACACTAACAGGGCATAGTGAAAATTTTTGTAATTCGTTCAGTTTCATTTAGTTTTAATGCTTTTGTGCCATGGTAAGTATTGCTCCCTACCAGTATAAGTGTAGTTCTATTTTGTAACTTTGCAGATTGAAAGAATACAAAATCCCTTCCTCTGGCAGACATACCAAATAAAAAAAGCTTCTCTCTCTACAAAGAACAAAAACAAAAAAAATGAGAGGTCGCTATTTCATGGGACAGCTCCATCCTCCTTGAGTGCCATCAACTACAATGGATTTAATCGTGGATATGCTGGGACACACGGTGAGTTACTGTCTAAAGCAGTTGTTTTCCTAGATATGTATGAGTTAACAGGGGGGAATGTCAATGGTATAGTGCTGTCAGCACAACCTGAAGACTGAATAAAGTTGGAGAACAAAATAATAAACAACTTCGGAGCATAATCTATAGGGACAGAGGAGTTAAGCTGCTCAGTTTATCCCTTGTTTGATGAAGGCCACCATCTAGAGGGTATCAGAAAAAGTTCACCCACTCTGAAATAAAGCCTAGGCAGCTTTTGAGAAATGTTTTGTATAATCTGCCTACAGAAGGGAGAAAAGGCTGCGGTTCAGTATCCTCAGCTGAGATCCCAGCAGCTAGTGGTTGGCATCTCCTCCCTTAGACAAAAGCAGGTACTGAAGCAGAGGTGCAACTTCCCCTGTTGCCTCCAAAGATAAGTACAGCACAAACAGTCAGAAGATCCCACTCCTCTACAGTGTTTATGCACATGAAATCAGTTGGAATTCATGCATTAATCCTTCCCCTTTAATAGTTGTTAGGGACAACTTCGAGCAGAAAGACTGTGTTAGTTCAAAGATTGTTTTGCCCAGTTCCTCTAGTACAGTCATGTTGTGTTTATTTGGTAGTATTCAAAGATGAAGGACAGGATCCATAGAAGTAGAACTTAGGCTGAATTGAGGTGCCCATTGTTCTCAGAGGTCCTGCAACCTTACTTCAAAAGTCTTTACTTCCTGTTCTTAATGTTTTCTTCCTTAAGACACAATTGTACATGCCAAGGCCTAGCTTGATCTTGAGAGAGCTGGACAGCTTAACTTGGATCTAGTTGACATGTCACTGTGGTGTGGATCCAAAAGTAGAAGTTTCTGGATCCTCTCAAGGTACTTACAGTGATATTTTCTTGAGAAGATGAAGCCCAACATACACAAAATATGTCAGGCTGTGCACAGATAGAAATGGCAGTCACCATTTCTTTTTAAAACATGACCAGAGGTGACGTAGTTTCACTTTCCTGCTCTTTGGTTGTGCCAGAAGGTTGGATTTACTGGGAAAGCAAGAGCTCTAGATCCCCTTGTCCTCTCTGCCTGCGAGTATTGACATCCAGCTTTCTATCTTAGCCACGATTTATGATAGGAAGGATGACCTTTCCTTCTGTCAGGATGCGTAGCCGTGCAAAAGTATTCAAAGATCAGAGCAGCCAGATAGGAAGGACCTTTCTGGCTTCAACAGCTTCCTACCAGTGTCAGTAAAAAGGAATCTGTCCCAAAGAAACGTGATTCCTCTAAGCTGTTGTGAAGCATAACTAGAAAACTGTAATTACAATTGTATAGTCATTTTAAGTTGAAAAGGCTCTGCAGGTTTGCAATTTGGTGGATTGCAGGCTAAACACCAAGAAAGGAACTGTCTTCCCTGAAGGAAAGAGCAGTCAAAACCCGGGTGTTGATACTTACCTGACATCTCAGTGGATTCATACCTGATTCTGATAGAAAGGATTATTACTAGAATTTGCTGTTTAAAGTCTAACCAAAGTTATACCTTCTGCAGAGGGGGAAAAAAAAGCAGTGGGGGGGGAAGCTTTAGAGATTGTTATGGCATTAAGAACATTAACCACATTTTAAAATGTTGTCTTTCCAAACAGCTGCTTCCATTGGAAATGGAACCTATTTTGCTGTTAATGCAAGTTATTCTTCTCAAGATACTTATTCCAAACCAGATCAGAATGGCAAAAGATACATGTACTTGGCTAAGGTCCTCACTGGGCAGTACTGTGCTGGGAAAAGAGGACTAGTCACTCCACCACCGAAAAACCCAGCAGATCCCACTGACCTGTATGACAGCGTGGTCGATGATGTGAATAATCCAGCAATGTTTGTCATATTTAATGACATTCAGGCATATCCTGAATTCCTTATTACTTTCAGAAAATAGGGTATTCTTAATAGTCTGGAAAACTTTAGTGCCTGTTATAGGTGGGAATTAAGGGCCATTCTTGATTCTTGTTCACGTTTAGTTTTCTTAAACTTAGCGGTTATTTATCTGTCTGTGTGTTTTAAATTATCTGTCTGTGTGTTTTAAATAAGCCTTCAAATTATCAGCACACCAAGGCCAGGACAAGCAAATATCTTTAGAGCATGTTCTTTCAACACATGTGTTTATAATTCAGTTACGTGGAGGTGTAGGCAAGAACTCAACGAGAACAACCCCAGCCTCTTCCTACGTGAGGCAGAGGGGACTGGTGGGAGAGGGAGCTGCTCTGCCTCACCTGGGGCCTGAAGTGAGAGGTGGGGTTTGTCCTAGGTTTGTCCTAGGCAGAACAAGCTTCTCTTTTTTTCTGCATTTGAAGACCCTAAGGCATAGCATGAAGTTCTTTGAACTGCTGTTTTATTAATTGGAATTTTTTGAACTAACTGTATTCTCATTTCAAAATACCTTTACAGCTGGTACAAAGCCAATTACAGCATGGCAGAGAGATTAGACTGGGGACACAGTAAAGGCTGTGACTTTGTAATGAAGAGCTGTAAATTCTGGATTAACCAAAAAAGACAAAAGTGAACTGCCAGTGTGAAGCAGCTCATGGGTGAGAAGCATAAAGAGACGATGAGGGTAGACAGAAACCAACAGCTTTGGTGTGTTTACCAAGACTACTGAGACCCCTGAACCGGTTAAGATGTGGGCGAGGGAAGAAGCCTTGTAGAGGCAGGACAGCCTCGCCTCAGCCCCATCCCCTGTGGTCACTTGAGGGGCGAGCAGCCTTTTGCCTCGTTATTGGCAAAATGAATATAATGAGTGACAGCCCTGCATGTGCTGATGAAGATTGTCATGAACATGCATCTCATGAAGTGCCTTGCTCCTCCCCATATATGCTACCTTGGTATGTAGATCAACCTGGGGAGAGACCTAAGGAAAGTGTCTATAAACTGAGGAGAGGCAAGGATAACAGGAAGGAGAAGTAGAAAAAAAAAAAAAAGACAAGAAGAGGGATGCATCCTTGAACCCTTGTTGGCAGGATCAGTGCAGGAACCTGAACCAGTTAGGTTAGTTAAGCAGTATTGTATGCCATGTGTTACTTGTTATAATTTGTTACCTATATAGTTCTTTTTCTTGTTATCATTAAGTCGTATCACTTGCCATAATTTGTTATATACCTAATCAAGTTGCAGAGTCATCTACAGGGGCATAATTTGGTTACCTGCTTAAACCATTTGAAAAACTTTAAAGTTCTATAAAGCAAGTAAATAATGGTATTGGTACCTTTTCACAAGCTGTACCCTTTTATTACAGTGATAACTGTATAACTGCCTATCAAAACCAATAGGGTGATTTTAATAAAAGTACTTGCAAACATCCCCCTTCTATGACTGAGTCATTTGCACAAACATGCTTCAAGTAGAAATGTTGCTTTACATTTGAATACCTCTGTTGCTACAGATTTGTGCATAGAGACTCCAGGTAGAATTGTTCTGCCTTAGTCCAGCGGAGACCTGTGCTGCAAGGAGCTGCCAGGATCTCTCAACAGCTGGCTGCCGCGTTCTCAGCGCCTGCAAAGGGGAAAGGTGTTTGTAGATACAGATTTTAGAAATCTGTAGAAACAGATTGTAACCCACTCCTCCTTCAGTAGGTTTTGCTCCCTGTGGGAAGGTGAGGATGCTTTTCTCCCTCTGCTGTTTTTCGGGTGCTTTTCAGTAGTGGCTGGTCTGCCTGACAACCGGCCGCCCTGGAGGGCAGCAGGAGTTGCACGATGCAGCACTTCGGCCTCGGGGGAGAGGATGAGGGACAGGGCAGGTGCCCCCAGAGCTGTGTCACTGCCCCCTCTCAGCCGGACAGGGGGAGAAAATACGAGGGAGGTCGGGGTAAGGGCAGGGATGTCAGTTGGCAATAACTGCCAGGGGCAAAACAGACTCGACTCGGGGAAATTAA